ACCTTCCTCCAGCACAATGAGTAACCCCTCCCAAATACCATTCCCTCCCTCCCCGTTTCATGGCAGCCGAAGCAACAGCAAAGCAGAGGCTGACAGCCACCTCCACCCCTCCAAATGCTGACTAAAAGGGAAATATTTAGATAGTTTTTTCCTCAGCTTTTGCCACTTGGAGTTGTGTGGACTTCAACCCAATGGTGGGTTTCCATATTTTTTTTTACTACTGGTTCACTTGCGTACGTGCGCATTTGGATGCACGCAGGATGCTTCTGCTCATGCGCAGAAGCATCCGGGCAGGTGGGTGGAACCTCCCACCACCACTATTACCAGTTTGCCTGATCAGGGCCGAATCGGGAGCAACCCACTTCTGCTTACATAATTCTAGAAGTTGGAAGTCCATGCATCTTCAAGTGGTCCAGGTTGAGAAAGACTGATTAAAGCAGCCCTAAAGGACATCAAACGATTCCAGAGTTCTTTGAAGGTGTGAAATCATCCTTGTTCAAAGTTTTCCCCAGCACTCTGGGAGTGCTTCGTAGTGTCAGCCACAACTTTACACAGTTTTTCTTTAATTATAGCAGACACAGGTAAGTCCTTACTTACTCATCCTTTGTTCAGTGACTATTTGAAGTGATGACAGTGCTCAACATTGAGAGTTATGACAGGTCCTCAAAGTTGTAGGCGTTGTAGCATCTGGGATTCACGTGAATGTCATTTGCGACCTTTACTTCTGGCTTCTGACAAAGTCAACGGAGAAGCTGGCAAAAGCCACAAGTCACAGTGTGACATTGTGCCATATTTTTCTGAATATAAGACGCTCTGGAGTATAAGATGCGCCTTAGTTTTTGGAGAGGAAAATAAGAAAAAAAAAATTCTGCCTCTGCCTATCAACATCCATTGGTATTCATCTGGCTAGCGTCCTTAGCAAACAGCCTAATCAGCTTCAGCACATTAGTTTGCTGGTTGTGAGCATGCGCCTCGTTGGGGCTGATACGCAGTTTCAAAAACACAGCTGATCATCGCAGGGAACTGAATTGAGTAAAGCAGGTGGAGCACGGAAGTGGTCAGACAAGGCAACAGCAGTTCCGGGTTGCCATTTTGGCCTCCATGCCTCGTGTTTTCAGCCTCCAAATGCTCCATTTGAGACCCATTCAAGGCTGCGGGGATCGCCAAAGGACATTGCCGCTGATTGGATACACAGAGGCCAAAAATGGTGCGTGCAGAGGTCTAAAATGCAATAAGCAGAGGGCAAAAATGCAATGTGCAGAGGCGCCAATCGGCAACAATGTGTTCTGGCGATCTGCACAGCCTTGAACGGGGCTCAAATAGAGCGTTCAGAGGCCGAAAATGCAAGGCACAGAGGCCGAAAATGCAAGCCATAGAAGGGGTGATAGTCTGTGGGAATCCCTGTAGCCTGGAATAGGTCTAAAATGCGTGGAGGCTGAAGGGTGGAGACCATCGATGGTGTGGGCCCGGCTATGTTCGATGTATAAGACACACCCAAATTTTCATCCTCATTTGGGGGGGGGGGAAGTGCCTCTGTGTTGATTCACTTAATGACCATAGCCAGAAACTTCAAACTCCCATTGTAACTTGAATGCAATCACATGGTTTTTCAGTTTACAATCTAATTGCTTAGCAACAGGTTTGTTGGTCCCTATGGCAGTGGGTAAGTGAGGACTACTGTAGTTTTTAATTTCTAGTGCTGCTTTACACTTACGTCCCTTGCACTTTGACCCGAAAGGTATAAACCAAGGTGAGGGTGTGCAATGTTTATAGATACACCCAATCCTTTCTGTTCACTTTGGATTCCCCTGTTCTTCCAAGGACTGGCAGCCGCCGGATGGATAACTGATCGGAACCTTCTGGGCCCTGAGGAGTGGCGGATGGAATGGCTCAGTGCTGAGAAGAAAATGCTCTGATTCTGGAAGATTTTTTTTATGCCAGCAACCTGATTTTTTCAATCCTAGAAAAGGAGGGGATCGTGGTTTCCTCGGAGTTGTCTTTTACAAAGGCAACAGGTGATTTCCTTAATTGTAAAATAAAGATGAGGTGCTGACAACATGAGACCTCACTTCTTTTCAATTACTATTTTTTTTAAATGTGATGAGGTGTTTACGTATTTTGCCTCTGGGGATAAAGCTAATATATATCTTCAGAGCAGCACTGCAAGACTTAACAGATGTTTGCTTAATTGTACAGGTAATCCTCATGTAGTGACCCCAGTTGGGAATGACAACCTGGTCATTAATTGAAGTGGCTGTTAAATGAATTGCAGCTGTGTTTATGGTCTTACTTCAGCTTTCCTTTGCTTTACAGACCTGTGAAGGTTATAAATGCGAGGTTCGGTTGCAAAATTATTTTTGCATCATTATCGTAACTGCGAATGGTCATTGTCTGAGGCAGTCGCTAAACGAAGATTACCAGGGTGTGCCTTGTTCAGTATGGGGGAGTCCTCTCTTTGTTTACATAGATTTTTAACTCCCAAATTTGATTTTCTACCTCAAAGGGAAATATGTCAACTTTCTTTTACATCTGCTCCAGAGGTAGATTCCTACCGGTTTCCAAATATATTTTCGTGTTTTTGTCTCTCTTTTCCAAAGGTTTGAAAGGGATGGGATGGAATACAAAACATTGTGGTAGAATAGAATAAGTGGGTGCCCCTTCGCATGGCTAGTGAGGAATAAAAAGGCATATGGTGCCTTATACATATTGCAATCCTGGAATAAATTCAACAGCCCTTTATGGAGGAGGAGAACATGGCAGGTGCATAAGATCGGGGAGCATAAATATTTGTGAAGGACATTCAGGCAAACATACCATGATAAACATGCAGTCTGGAGAATTATAGATAATCATAATTAGAGGTAGTTTAGGTCAGGGGTCCCCAACTCCTAGTCCGTGGAGTGGCATTGGGCTGTGGCAATGTTTACAGACCTGCGAAGGTTATAAATGCGAGGTTCGGTTGCAAAGTTATTTTTGCATCATTATCGTAACTGTGAATGGTCATTGTGAAGCAGAAACAGGGTCACACAAACAAGTGAACCCCCATCTGTGGGATGCAGGTAGCACACGAAACAACACTCCTCTGGTCTGTGGAAAACCTCTCTCCATGGAACTGGTTTCTGGTGCCCAGAAGATTGGGGGCCACTGGTTTAGGTGACCAGTTGTGAAATTACAAGTAAGAAAATGTTTGTAGGTGAAGGAATAGCAGAGCCTGGCAGGTGGAGACAAAAGGGGAATCAACCTAGAGTCATTATATAGCCACCAATAGACTGAGTCTAACTCAGTGGTTCTCAACCTGTGGGCTTGGACCCCTTTGGGGGTCGAACGACCCTTTCACAGGGGTCGCCTAAGACCATTTGAAAACACATATTTTTGAAAAAATACGGAAAACAAAATAATTTTGTGGTTGGGGGGGGTCACTACAACATGAGGAACTGTATTAAAGGGTCATGGCATTAGGAAGGTTGAGACTCACTGGTCTAACTCCTCTTGAATTCCATTAGCTGTTGGGATTCCAACAGATGCTCTAATTAAATCATGAACCTCGATCCTTATCTGCCATCAAAATGGTGCTAACCATTAGTTGACTAGATTCCTATACCTGGGCACAACCAATATATTAGTTTAATTGGAACTTAGCATGTGGCCTTGGTGCTTCCTGCCTGACATCTAAGACTCTGAAAACAGAATGTTCCAAATCATCAGGATACTTAAGAAGGACAAGTTTCTCCCTAACTTCAGCTGTCAATAGTTTTGAATGGCATTTCTTTTTCATGATGTTATATAACTTAAGATTGTCTTACGATGATATTTGGTGAATTTTGACTTGAGTGACACAGTTAGATCTTCAGTGATTTGGATGATGGCAAATGGCCCAGGGGACTGTTAGGGAGTCCCTCCTGGTGCCCTCTTTTTCCTCCTGTTGTTCTCTGGGTTAACCTGATCGGTGGATGGGATGCAGCTGGAGGGGCTGGTGAGCAACATATTCTGTTGTTGAGGACCGTCAGGCATAGAAGGCCCACATGAAGATGGCCAGGGCCATCATAATCACAGCATTAATGTTGACTACTTGCTTCCAGAGGGTGTGCTCCGTGATCCCTGCCAGATCCTGGAAATCCTTGTCCTCTTCTGGGTTGAGTTCTGGCTCCTTTGGGCTGCCAGAATTCATCCCACAAAACCAGGCCAGGCCTTGGCGTAGTCGGCCACAAGAAGTCCTTGTTTTAGGATCTGCATGGGGAGAGAAGAGGCATCTGAAGTTAGGGTTCTTCAAAACATTGCAATGGTTGTGAAATTGTGACAAGGGCAAACTCAAAAGGAAAGACACACACACACACACAGAAACACGCTGAGAAAATTTGATGATTTAGGGACATCCTAGAATTGTCTGGATGTATGTTTTTATAAAGTCTGCATCTTGTTTCCCAAATAGTACCCTGTAAGAACTGATGTGGTGTAGTGTTTAAGGGGTTGGACTGGCATTGGGGGGGACCCACATTCAGGTCCACCTTGACTAGATGATTTTGGACCAGTCATTCTTTCTCACTACCTCAAAGGAAAAAGGAGTCCTATTCTCCTGTGCGCTGCTTGGGGAAATCCAAGCATGGGTTAACTTTGTCCATTAGCCTAGAGACTGAGTTATGTAATTGTTGACTATGCCTCCTATGACTGGGGTAGTTCAGTTTTTTAACTCAGTCCAGCCTAAAGAGATGTATACTTTTTTGCTCTAGGGTAATACACAAAATTAACTCATTTCTTTCCTTTGGATTCCTACTACTATTTCACTGATTGTTGTGGATTGCCCAACTGCAAGACGGGACTGATACGCTGAGTTAGCCTGAGCTCCTTAGCAGCTTGGCGAAGTTCCCTTTAAGGCTTTCACGGCTGGGGGAACCATCAGCTTGAGACAGTCACAGTCGCGTGACTTGGTTCACTTCGCTGCCATGGAGGAGAGTCAGTTCGTTGCTCTTGCTTGTCGTTGCCACGATCGGGAGTTGATTCAGCGCTCTCGCGTTGGTGGAGATGGGCGTGATCCGCTCTCGTAGCATGATCAGTCCCACTTATTTTTCTGCCTAGCCGCTTAGCACTGTTTCCCCTATTGCTGTAACCAGGTCAGCGGAGGATCGTTGGGGGGGGGGATTCTAACGGCGAGTGGTGGCCATTTTGCAGCCGCATTTGAAATTTGCGCCATCCTTCTTGCAGCGTCTGCCTGTTTGACGGCCGTTTGGAGTTTGGCGCCGAAAGGCGACCGGAAGGGGCGCATCTAAAGCTTTGCGCCCAAATTGCAGAGATGATGTTCGTCGTTTTTGCCTGAGCATTGAGGAAGTCGGTTCGCTGTCTTACTGCTCCAGCACACACGGCTCTCTTGCCATTCTCAGCAGCCTGATTTAGCTCTGTTACAGATTCTGTCAGTGCACTCACCCTGATTGGGACATAAGCTGAGCCTTTCAACTCCCCCCCCCAATTTATATTTCAATGGCTGATCGTTTGGTTTCTGGGGGCAGTGCCGGGGCGTCTACTCCTCCCCTGCTGCACTCTGATGCTACCAGAACTAACACTAGGGTAGGCAGAACCACCACTAGGGCCGCTAGTCAAAGGACTCGCGCTTCATCTGCGGATCCCGACAGGGCCACTAAGCGCAAGGACAAGAGTAAATCGGCCAAGGTGCCTGTGGTCACTAGCAGGTCACCACCCACTCTTTTGGCTGAGGGTCCTTCCCCTGATTCTTCTCTTCATTTGGCAGGGATCCAAGGTTGGTCTCCTGACCTTCCCTCACTGGGCCTACCACTTGAGGAAGAGGAATTGGGGCCCCAATCTCCATCTGATCCAGCAGAGTCAGCCCAGCCCAGGTGCCAGGACCCTACGGCTACTTTTACGCCCACGGCTGCAGGATTAAGATCTGAGGAAGGCTCTGAGTTCAGTCTTCCCCCTGAGCTTAAAGATATGATATCAGCAGCCATCTCATAGGGCGTGGATGCAGAATTGCACCGCAGGGCTCAGAGGCCTAGAATTGCAACCTTAGCCAGGGACCCCCTCTATTTCTCAGGCTGACCCCCCAACACTGCTACCTTCGGTCTACAGTGAAGGTTCGATGTTGGGTAAAGTGGAAGGCACATCAGAATTAGAACTGTCGGATGACAAGGGCCTAGAACAGGACAAGCCAGCCTTTTCCAGATTATTCCGGCCTGCTTTATTTAAATCCCTGTTATACAAGGCCAAAGAGACAACCAATATGGGAGGTGCTATCACTCAGGCCAGCACCGCTGTGGGGCTTGACTCCATGGAGCACCTGTTTGCAGGACAGGTACAGGAGCAGGATGTTATACCTTTTCCGAAATGGTTCCTGGACGTTGTCCAGAAGCAGTGTACACAACTTACTAAGGTCTCTCCACCTAGTAATGGTGACAGGAAACTCTATTCCTCCACACCGGAACTGGATGGGATTCTTCAATTCCTTACAGTAGATCCCCCAGCAGCCTTGGCCACCCCAGCCCTGATTCTGTCCAAAATTTCAGAAGGTCTTAAAACTGAGGACCGTAAGGCTGAACATCGGTAAAGATGCACCAGGCCACAGCAGCTTTGTTCCTCAACAGGATCTCATTGGTTTGGCTCAAGCAGTTAAAGGCCAGGCCCTGATGATATGCGTCTCCACCAAGATATCAACAAATTGGTGGCGGCTTTGGAGTTTTCTTCAGATTCGACCCTCAATGCGGCCAAATTCACATCTAGAGCGGCAGTATCCAATATTGCATCCCGACGCCTCCTTTGGCTCTGTCATTGGCAGGCAGAGTTAAGTTCCAAATGGTGTCTAGCTTCCACCCACTTTAAAGGTGGCTCTCTATTTGGCACCACGTTAGACCCTATCCTAATCAAGACAAGAGATAAGCACAAAGTTCTCCCGTTGGTTACCAGACGCACCGGCAGGAGACAGCAGCCTTATAATAGAATGCAGTCCTTTCGGCAGGGGATTCTGGGAACACCGCAGTTCTCTATACTCCCCAGTACAACAGGCCTTATACACAGACACAGGACAGGGCCCAGGACCGATCCAGTGTCATTGATAGGGCCCGACAGAATCAGCAGCAGTCTCAGGCTCAGCGCCATTTCGTGGCACCAACAACTGGTCCTTTCATAGGTACCGGTGATTCACAAGGAATCGGCTCTATTGGTGGGCATTTAACAGCCTTCACTCACCAATGGGTAGAAACCACCTTGGACGCCTGGGCCATCCAGACAGTGAGGCTAGGTCTCACTCTAGAATTTCTCTCCATCCCTCCGAGGCGTTTCATCAGGTGCCCTGTACCCAGGTGTCAGATAAAGAGACACCTAAAGGACACCGAAATCCAACATCTATTATCAATCAGTGCCATAGAAACGGTACCACAAGGACAAGAAAGACTAGGTTTTTACTCTATTCTATTTCTTGTCCCCAAAAGCTCGGGAGGATGGCGAGCCATCCTAGACTTGAAACGGCTCAACTTATATCTCAATTATCAGCGGTTCAAGATGCAGTTGCTCAAAAGCATCTTAACGTACATCCGCCAGGGTGACCTCCGTCGACATCAAGGAGGCATATCTCCACGTGCCGATACATCCGACACATCGAAGGTTCTTACAATTCCACTTTGTGGGACGCGACTTCCAGTACCAGGCCCTGCCATTCAGCCTCTCTTCGGCCCCACAAACCTTCACAAAATTGCTGGTGGTAATATCTTTGATAGCCTGCAGGATGATCCCTTCGATCGGTGCCCATAAGGATCAATTGTTATTTAGACAACATCCTCATCCTGTCATCATCCCGAAACCAGGCACATTGAGACCTACAACACATATCGGGCACAGCCAACATACAGACGGATTGGCTGATGGATCAGGCAGAGTGGCGCCTCCACCTGGCCCTGTTCCAGGAACTGTCTCGCAGATTTGGCCAGCCCAAAGTGGACCTCTTTTCACAGCCTCATAACACATATCTGCCAAGGTTATTTATGAGGTTCCAGGTGTAGGGGGTGGAGGGCACCGATGCTCCTCACAGCCCTTGGCCGGGGGACCTTCTTTACGCCTTTACGCGTCTCCCGCTCATTCTGCACGTCATCCGGAATGTTCTGGCAGAACAGGCGGACATCCTACTGGTAGCATCGATGTGGCCCCAGCATACCTGGTACGCCATCTCTCCGTATCACACCCATGGAGAATTCCAGATGATCAGATATCTCTGTCACAGGGGGCTCTCATTCACCCGAACCCCCAGCTGTTTCAGTTAGCCGTGTGGCACATGAGCGGGCTATCTTAATCTGGCAACACTTCTCCGGCAAAGTAATCGACACAATCCAAGCAGCACGCCGCCCATCCACAACATGCATTTATGAGGCCACCTGGCAGGCCTTCTGCAGGTGGGGCCGTGCGGCTGGTGTTGATCCAATCAAGGCATCCATACTACAGGTACTAGATTTTTTACAGATGGGCATGGACAAGGGACTCACACCCAACACCCTCCACTGCCAAATTGCAGCCCTATCAATGGTTGTTGGGGAAAGACAAGGCCACCCCTTTGGCTTAACATCTAAGGGTTCAGTCTTTCCTGAAGGACGCCTTGAACCTCAGGCCTCCAGTGGTCCATTGTTACCCCACATGGGACTTATCCCTCGTGCTTAGGGCTCTCTCAGCGGAACCATTCGAACCCATCCGCTTGATCAACATTAGATTGTTGACCCTTAAAACCATCTTTTTGGTAGCTATTACATCAGCTAAGAGGGTTTAGGAGCTGGCGGCGCTGGCGGTCCAGAAGGACCTCTGTATCTTCCATCCGAATAGAGTCATCCTGCAGTTAGACTCGGCATTCCTTCTTAAAATTAATTCATAGTTCCACAGGGCACAGGAACATCCTTCCGGACTTCTGTCCACAGCCCTCACATCCACAGGAGCAACGGTGGCATCATCTCAACATTCGCAGGACATTCCATCGCTATGTGAAATGTATTGCATCCTTCAGAAGGCCAAAGGCACTTTTTGTGTCTTTTCAGCCAGCATCTATGGGACAGAAGCTGTCCTTGAATACCATCGGATGCTGCTTGAAAAATGTGTGTTGCCTTGGCTTACAATAGTCAAGCCAGACCAGTTCCCAGACGCATCCCCCCCCCACTCCACCAGTAGTGTGGCCACCACAGCGGGCTGGGCGACACAGGCCTCAGTGGAGGACATTTGCAGTGACTTGGTCATCACTGTCACCCTTT